AACAGTATGCCAAGCCCAATTTAGATAAGAACTATTATCTCTGAGGTTTTCTAGCTGATGTGCTTCGTGAGATACTTAAATTGCACCTGTGGGCTTATTATCCAGCCACACCACAAACCTCACTGTGGGCCTGAGATGAAGCTGCATGAGTAGGATTTATATTTCACTCTTGTACCCATTATATCTTAGTCTGTTCTATAAGTCAGTGCTTGATTTGCCACAAATGATCAGCTCTGATTAGAGCTGCAGATGTAGAAGGAAGAGCAAAGTTACCTCTGTATCTTGATTTACCTGCTACCTGTATCTCCCTATAAAACATCACAGCTTTAAAAATTACCAGGCAGTGTAGGGGAAAGCTGCATGAAGATAATGAAGATTTTTCTGAGAAATGCAGCTCATTCATTAGGACTTCATTCATTGCACTGCCATAGCAAAAGATGCAAGAAAACTTTCAGTTATTAGTTCAAATAAAATCAGGTCAGCTGGGGAACAAAATAAATCAACCTCAGGCCTCAGGCATATGACAAACAACAATTCCAGTTGAGACCTCCATTTCTTTCTGATGAGACTGTCAAACATTATTAAAAAATCATGAACACAATTTTTTCTGTAAACAAAGAACACTTCGTTATAATATCTGCCTGCTGATCTTCTATGCCAGCATATATCAGCAATGAAAATTAAATGCCTTTCCTTGAAAAATGAAACAGAAAATAAAGTTAACTGAATGCAGGTTTTTTTACATACTTAGAAAGTCCTGGTTATATTGCCTGTATATTTATTCTGTTGCAAACATCTTTTTAAATCAAAATAAATCTCCATCTCTCTTTTCTGTTTTAGAAAAGAGCTCTACTTCAGTAAAAGTGAGCTCAATTACAACAGTTCATTACAGCAAACAAAAAACTCAGTTCCCCAGAGAAAAATAACATTAAGAATGATGAGTTGTTTGCTGTTTTATAACCAAGTGTCTGTGAATGGCTCAGTGCTGAACAAATTGCTTTTAATTTTTGCTCATATTGGAATTATCTGTCCTTTACTAAAATAGCTTTTAGACCTCTGCCACAAGTTGAAAGACCAGAAACCAAATCTAGATCTCAGCCTTGCTATTGTAACACAATTTTTTTTAGGCTTTTGAACTTTCAGTTTTTTATTGACCTGCAGCTTTTTTCCACATTTGAAAATATAAGTGATGTTTGTTACCTATTTAGTGCTGCTAAATATTTCAGTGTAATGAAAAGACAGAGTCCAGAAAATCTGAGTCCTATCTCAGTTAGTGTGAGCCTGCCTGCACCACAGTATCTATTCCAATGTGACTGATGGAAATCTTCATGGGAATCCCTTCGCTGACTTTCGCCTTCACAATTCAGCTAAAAAAGGGAATCAGAGCTTGTTCTGACCTTTCTGAAGGAGCCTCTCCCATTGATAAAACACTTTGGGACGTGCTGCATGTGGCTGCTCACAAATGCCAGCATGCTGAATGCCCTTCCTGCATTGCAAAAGAACACTTCCTAACCCTGCAGTGGGATATTGCATTTTGTCTAGCAGTTGGATGCTTTGTCTGGGTAGATTTTGTAGCGGCTCCAAAAGTTTCTTACAAAGTGCCAAAAAACTCCTGCTGCTGCAATTCCACCTCAGTGCTAAATTTGGAGAAAAGTGTTATCCTTGCACCAAGAATGAAGAGAGCCCCAGCATTACTTGACTCCAGATGGATCCAGGCTACTCAAGGAAGGCTTTCTCCCAGTGTCACCCTGCTAGCAGTGGCTGGGGACACAGGCAGGGTTTACAAAGACACAAAAGATTTCAATTCAGTGTTGTGTGGACCTGGACAGGGTGGAATCAATGACAGTTGGTGCAGCCTTATCTCCTCTTTCATTGACACTGCAGCTTTCTGTAGTATCACATCAGAGGTGTTCACCATACAAGCTGGCTGATAAATGGCATCTGATAAATATGACATACACACCAATTGAAGCTAAACTTTTCCAGAAAAATGGAAATGGATTTCTAAGTTATTTTTCTTCTTCCAGACATTTAGGGTCACTTCCTTACATTTTAAGTCTTAATTGTAACTAGCAGAAGTGGGGAATTAGGCAAACGAGCAGTGTTTTCTGTTTTCAGTGCATTGCTCTACCCACAGTGTATTTTAGGAAGTCTTGAAAAATGTTTTCCATTTTCTCTCAGGAGTTCCCACCACTTTTTAAAAGGAATACAAATAAATTAAGAAACCTCAGGCAATGTTGCAAAAAACATCCTTTCTATAAAATGGTTTATGAAAATATGAGTTAGAGGGGAGGAGAAAAGAAAGATAAGGAAATAGATGTGTTGGAAAACTAGAAAATATTAAACAAAGGGACAGTTTTAGCAAGTGAATGCACAAAGCATGAAATAGGTGTGGTTTCTACAAATTTTTGGAAGGAAGATACTTGTTCATACAATACCTCAGGTGGCCCTCACCTCCCTATTCATGTGAATAGCTGAGAAAATCTACAAAGGAGAGCAAATTCAGCAGTCAGAGATTGCAGCACAGTAACCTTTTCTACTGCTGACCTAACCTATAAATCTGGGAATTGTTGGTATAACGTTCTAGATAGCTAATCCTAACTCCTGTGGTTTGGAGAACCAGGGGAATTAAGTGCTCTGCTTTCATGAAGAGTTTATGTGCTTCAGCCTGTGCATGTGAAGATTATTTATAGAGTTAAGTCCAAGAAAGCTGTTTAGTCTGGGAGAAGATGGAAACGAATGGGCAACAAAACAGCGATGGAGACACGATACCTGGGGTAAACAACTTCAAGGGAGTTAAAATAATAATAATTCAATAACCAGCTGGGAAAATGCTGTTTTCCAGGCCCCAGGCAGTTACACAGCTGGCTTGCCAAGTCTGAGAGCCTGGAGATCAAAAAGAATGTACATCTTAAAAGGATTGTGTTGGAACAAGAACAGGAGGAGTGAGCTGCCTGGGGATGAGAGGAAGAGTCTGAAAAAGGAAGGGAATGCAGCTGAACCCAAGGTGCAGATAACTGAACAGGCAGAGAAAATGTGGGCTGAAACCACACTCCTGCAGAGATCTTACCTCAGCAGCAGGTGGAAGTAAGTCCTAGCACACCTGAGCACACAATAACCAGAAATACCTGACTACCACAGGGATTTGCACTGATAACCTGGGTTTGATGGAGTTTGGTTTTCAGTGGAAGAGGGCAAACTAAAACTGGAGTTGAAATTCCCTTTTCATTTGGAATTCACCTTTTTGGCTAATATTTCACTGAGCAAGCAAGACTTCTTTCCACATGGTGGAGAAATTTCTTGTCTACTGAAAAGGATCTGTAGAGGGCTAATACCTTTATTCATCAAGGAGTGTTCATCAACCACCACGTGTTGGCTGAGGTACAATAATAACTGGTGTTTCTATCCATTATTGGAAAAGCAAAAGTCTTCAAGACATGCTTAAATTAAGTACATATAATAATATTTTTTGTTGAAACTGTCTAGGAAACGAGTGCCTTTAAGTTGAACTTCTCTGGATAGCACATTTTGTTTGAACATGATTGTGACACACTTTGTTTTCTCCTCCCTTTTCCTCTTTTTCCTTCTTTCCTTCCTCTAACCCTGCTCCCATGCCATACAGGCCAAGACAGGGCACACTCAGCCCTTTGGTGAATTGTGATCATCCACATGCAGCACTTCCCTGAGGTCAGTGTCACATCTCCAATTTATCTCCTGGAAATTATATTCAGAAAAAAAAAGATTCCTACTGAAAACAAAAGCTTGTTGAGACAACAGCATGTAAGTACAAGAACTGTTTGTGTGGGATGAGAGTTTATGTTTGGAATGACTCTTTTATCTTTGAAGCCTTGAAAACCTTAATAAATATTTTGGAAGCTGTTTCCCTGACTGGGCTTTGTTTGGGATTTTTTTGAAATCCCATCGTGCCTGCCTGCCTCCCACCCCATCCCACAGATTTGTGTTGTCTGTTTTCTATGGCTTGTCAGCCAAGCTTCAGGCTCCATGGATTGTCATTATCTTCATGTTTCAATGAGCTGCCCACCACATGCTACAAAAATATTTGCTATTAAACAACAATAACAGCTCATCCAAGTGGTATTCACTTAGGTATTGAGTTATTGCTGTTGAATTTGGAATCTCTTGTTCAGATCCTCAGAAAAATACTAAGTTTTCTGAGAGGAAATTCCTCTGCAGTAAACAGCCATATGAAATTCTGAAATATCTTTTCACACAGTTATCTAATAATACACACAGTCACTGAATATCAAGGTTAAATTGCATTTGCTCTGTTTCCTGACAGTCATTCTCAAAGAAGGCACTCACAGAAAGCAATTGCTTTCATCCACTTACACTATTTTGACAATCTGGTTCCCTGTTTTATCCCCAGATTGTTCTAACATGATCCACAGGTTAGAAACGTGGTGTCTCTGTCCCTGCCTTTTCTTCTCCCAGCACGCATTTCAGTAATTTTGTGTGATAAGTAAATAAATCCAACAATGTATATTATTAATTCTTGCTGTTCTGTGTCTGCTAGCCAACATTACTTCATCACCCACTGAGTTTATTAGGGGATTTTTAGAAGGCATTTCTGGAAATGCTGGTCAGATGTAATTCCACTGGACTTAAGAAAAATATTTTTTTGTCTTTGTGCAGTTATGTATTAAAGCCAAATTCACATCTGGGTAGACATTATTTCTTTCTTGCTCCAAATAAGACAGTGATAAAACAATACCACTGTCTGTGCATTCCTCATATTTAGGGATCACTGGTTCAGCAAGCTCTTACTAACAGGCTGATATTTGTCTCCAAGAAGCATATGAGAGGTGACATAACCAATGCCAGAATTTACTTTTGTGGATCCAAAACTCTTTTTCATTACAAATATGAATTAGTGACAAATCTTAGCACTGGGACTGGATTTACCTTTGCATCTTAGTTCTTCTATTTGCCTTGTATTCATCCTCTGTACCAAGGGTACAAAAACTGATGTAATATTATCTTTGAGTACTTTGTTTTTTTCAGAACTCCTGGAGGTCCAAAAGAACTGATCCTGCAGGTCTCCTTGTCACACCAGTGAGGGCCTTGGAGTCTGTCCAGTGCTTCCATGAGCTCCAATTCCATCCTGCTGCTGCCCACAGGCGAGTGTGAACTTTGGGAGAGCCACACCCCAGCCTGTCATGGTCCACTTTGGCATTTCATCCTTACATTTTATTTTTAATGAAAGCATTTCATGGCATGGGATCCTGCAAGCACTCATGCTAACCTGCTTTAAAACTGGTCTATGAAGTCTTCTTAGTTAGCCCATTAAAAAATGACAAACCTACAGAATTTTCTGGGACCTGATTCTTCTACTTGAGCATTTACACCTTGTTTTCAGAGTAATACCTTCATTCCAGTGCTCATGGACTAACAAACAGTCTAACCTGCACCATGAAAGCAGTATCTGGGCATTAATTTACCTCTATATGGCACTTGTATAATTTAAATAACCTCCCATGACCCTTGTGTGAATGCTAGAGTTCACGTAATTACCGACAAAAATTATCTTGCCCATAAACCGACTGAGCTGTGTATAAATCCTTGATGTCAGGGGTAGGATGCTGAAATGTAAGTTATATATAAAAGGAATATAACATGCAGAATAAATTACTCTTGCCAGAAAAAAGATTGATTCACTGAGTTCTATTTAGCTTTTAATTTATAACAAACTAGCCTAATCTCAGTTTCCTTAGCTTCTGTAAAAATATTAAATAACATTATTATATCAAATACATCCCCTGTGACATTAAAGGAAATGGAAAGCTTAGGCACACATTAATTGCATTCCAAAATGTGGCACAAACCTTAATAAACCTAATTTAAAGAACCTAAGAACAATGACATTTATGCTTTAATTAGAGCAAAGGAAAGCTGTGCTGCACACTTTTACATAAACAATTTTTCTTGTGGGACCCGGCATTTCTGGCAAGGTGCACATTTCCCTGCAGTGTGCCACATGTCAGACTTCTTCCAGAGGCAAAACTTGCTTTTTGGAGATGGACACTGCCACACCAAAACACAGCAGTAACAAGCACTGTGAGAACCCAGCAGACAGTATAGGCAACCTTGAAGCAAGGCTTTCTCAAAACCTGGACTATCCCAGGAAAATGGAATTATTTCCTTTTAAGGAGAACACATTAAAGTGGCCAGATACGCAGCAAAGCCAACAATAACAGTTTAAGATGATAAATGTTTTTTTAATGATCCCTATCACTCTGGTATTCTAATCACAGCACATACGTTTAAAATGGAAAACATCCAAATCTGCAAAAAACCATTTGACATGAGATTAAAAAAACCATCCAAAATCAGATAGATTAATAGATCTAATTTACTTTAGAGGTATTCACAAACTGTTACAAAAACCAGATTGGTCATAAGACTCTAAGCTGTTACCATATGCATCTCACAGGTTCTGTGTTATGTTCCTTATGCTGGCAAACTGACTAATGAGTTCAAGACTGTTCCCCAGACAAGAACATGACAATTTGTGTGCTGTGCATTACAGCACTTTGTGCTCTGCAGCAGAATGAAACATAAATGTTGTGGAAGAATTTAGACGTTCTTTCACAATCTGCTCTGGTAAAAAGGAAATTGTGCAGTAGCTTAATATATATTTAAAACTGAGAATCTCACTGAATGCAGATGAATGATGTAATACATATACTGCACATGTATTTACTTTCATTTTATTTTTTTAATCTTTTAGTGCTATTGCCACAATCTCAGCATCTCATTATTGTTCAGGTCTTCATATTGTTAATTTCTGTAGACCCTTTGTCTGTTTTCTCAGGAATGTTCTCTGCTGTTAGACAGAGTTTAGAGGCATTTGGGACTATTGGACAAGCAGAGCAACCAGGTAAACCTGCTGAAAATAACAGCAATTTAACTGTTCACTCTGAAACCTAATGGCACTAATTAAAAATGTCAATAGTGTCAACAATTCAATAACACTATCAATTCCAAATACAGGCCTTTGGAAAGATAGCCAAAGTATTACTTTCAAAAAGCTGATCATAAAATAAAATTGCAGTTCCTTAGGGCATTGTAGCCTCTCCAGGACTTTCCTTGTATCAGTTTAAAACCCCTACCTTTTAGGTGAGGGTCTGGTGTGGAAACAATGCATTCAAGTCCAGAAAGCTGTCATGACTTGCTTCATTTAACAGGACGGAAGTACTTGATGCTGACTTTTGAAATTAATGATTTTGATACGACTGAAATAAAATTTTGAGTAAAAAATGCTTCTACCTTTTTGCAAAACCTCTTTTTTTGGGAAAAAAAAAAAAAAAAAAAGGCAGCATGTTCCAAAGGAATACTTTGATGAAACTGCAGATTCTGGAAAAAGCTGCTGCATTGAAGAAATGTCATCAACCTCTATCTTGGGGCTCATTCAGGCAATTTAATGAATACAAAAGCTAACACTTGTAATCAAGAAGGACTAGTGATACATTTTTTAAAAGGGAAATTGATTTTGGAAAACACTAGAACTCTAACACTGTAGGACGTCTGGGGCATCACGCCAGGAACTTGGTATTAGCAGTTAATTGGCACTCAAATTCTCATTCTTTACGTGGGCATGTATGCCTGAAAAGTGATGAACCCAGGGCATCTCTATGCAGGACTGGATGCTAAAGGAGTCCTTTAAAACCATTCCTATAAATGGTCACACCTTGCTAGCAAGAGGCACACATTTAGCATCCAAATCCTGGTAGAGCAGAAACTCAGAGTTCATTAATCCTAAACTGTAGCAGCCCCAAGCATTAGCAGAAAGCCCAGGTGGATAGGGAACATGTTCCTGTGCTCCTTGGGATGAAAATGATGATGCTGATGAGCTATGCAATGGATGTCAGGTGATTTGGGAGCAAAGCTCCAACCCCATGTGATCCTGTGGTGAGGGAAAGACAGGAATTTTCTGAGTATTATTGCTGCTGCCTGGTAGTCAAGACGGGAATAAATGAGCAGTTACTAATGAGTTCTCCTCTATTTAAATCCTGTGACATGACCCACAGCATCACACTTAAGAATTTAAAAATACTGAATCATGCCTTTGAATTGTGGATACCTAAAATTTCATTTGACTCTGGCAGTGTTTTTTTCTGAAGATACAATACAGAAGACCAGAAAATGTAAATTTAATCTGTAGATAAAAATGTGGGTTGCTTACAGTGTGAGTGCCAGAAAAATCATTGGTATTTTAAGAAATTCTTTTTCTTCCCTGTTACCTCCAGAGTATTGTAGCACAATTCCGCAGAGTTGGCTTTGCATATGCAACAAGTGGTGCTTAGATGATTAGTAACACAACTTGACCTTGAATTCCATCACCCACAGCCTGGTAATCACACAGCTTATCTCTATTTTGCTATTGCTTTGGGCAGAAGAAAATAGAAGGATTTGCCTTTTTTTGTGAATGCCTTAACAGCAGGGCTAATCTGATTTCATGTGGTAGTAATGGAAGTTCTTTTTTTTTTATTATTTGAAAAATATCTGAGAACAGCACTTGATATTAGTCATGGTAGTATGAAAACATTGTGTCAATACTTTATACATGGGAAATACTGCAAGAAAAGATGCATTTTGCAGATTCTGGTCTTCAGGACACATTCCTGCTATTCAATCACCTGCTCAGGGAAAGGCAGTGCATTACCCTGTGAGAGGTACAACAAATACCTCAAACACATACTGAAGGATGTGCTCATTGGGAATGAGACACAGAGTATTCAGTCCTATTTTTCATGGCTGTCTTTCATCTCGAGGAGATTCTCAAAGACATGATTTGCTCAAGCCTTTTGAAGATCATAAATTCAGTAAGGTGTCTGAGGATCAATGGGGGGCCGAACTTACCCAATCCACATTTTGGCCTTGGAAAATGTCTAAACCAATTTTTTCAGACCTTGACCATTCCAGAGGTGACTCTAGCCACGTGCCTCTGTAACATTCAGCAGCTTTGGGGCAGTCAGATAATGACTGGGAAGTTTCACTGTTCTCCCTGGATATAATCTGTTTCAGGCAACAGGAGCAGCAGAAGGAAACACTGGACTGATGCTGAGCATTATTAAAGGCAAATTTAGACCAGGACCAGCACCATTCCAGCTGGAAGCACTGGGGAAGTATGTTCCTGTGATCCCATATTAGTGCTTATGCCCTGACTAACCACATTTCACAGCTCCTCCTGCACCTGCTCAGTGCTCTGCTCTGTCTCCATCATGCACAGACCCTGCCATGGACTCTGCCCATGTAATTGGAACAAGGAGGGAAACCTCTGGCAGACAGACAGAGCTGCAGAGCCTTAACATCCTCTTGACATCCTCCCTCCTGGGGGCTGGGAATTAGCATAATCTCTGCTCCTCTGTAGCTCCAATGCACCAAGGGCATTTCTGGAAAATCCTCTTCTCTGATTTTGCCTCCCACCACCGTTCAATACTCTAATTGATAGATGGGAACTTTGAGGTGAAGCACAACGTGCTTGGAATGGGAAATCCCTGGCAAAACCTGTAAACATCACATTACAAAAGGGTAGCTCAGGCTCTGAGGAATCAGGCCCCAGCCCAACATTCTTCCAATCTTATTGGCTTTGTAATTCTGCCTCACGCCAATGGGCAGAATAAAACACACCATGAAAGAGGCAGTATGAAAAAACAGTATGAAAACACCTTTAAAGCTATGCCCTTTCCAACTTAGCTGTGAGCATGCAGCCCTGCAGTGAAATCCATGTGCACTCAGGGAAAAATGTTGCTCTGGAGTGGCAGAACGTGGCTCTTCCAGAACTGTGAATTGTCCCATGAACCAAAGAGGAGAAGCCAACATAATATGCCAGCCCTCATCACATTCCATTTTGAAATAAGGAGACAATTGTCAAACAGCTTACTATTTTATTCTTGTTTTCTTAGACCAGGATGAGTAGGAAAAGAAGATGCTGATTTTCCAGCTTCCAGACACCCAAAATTTATTTGACTAGTATTGTCTGGGAGCCTTATCCTCAAAATAAGGCTTATGACATCGTGGCTGTGAACACTGACATTGTGAATTCAGATGAGATGAACACAGTAGATATCCTGAATACCCAGGATATTTAATGACAGTGTTTTTCACTATTTTGTACACTTCGAAGCACACAACTCAGTCATTGCTATTCCACAATCTTTTCTTTATAAACATTTGCCTCAGTTGCTATTTGCTCTGTACTATTACTTCCTACCCCCAAAGATGCAGCTACCAAACAGGAATCTGTGTGCCAACTCTATCCCTCCACTGCTTAAAATCCTGACACTCAGCCTCTTGTTTGAGGGGAATCAATACATGGTCTGGCCTGGATGGATAGAAATTAACTGATGTGACATTTCACAATAAATGCAGAGCTCTGGGCTAATGCTCAGAGTGGATTTATTTTGCAAATGAAACCCCCTACTGCATGAATTCTTGTAGTTGCAGTTTGCTGGAGGCTGCAAGAGTACAGCAGAGGGAAGTATAGCTCAGTATTTGCCTCGTCTCTGCCTTCTTTCCTCAGTTGTTGCAGAGTTAGGGGACATTTTCAGAAACAAAATGCTCAGCCAGCTGCATCTTTGGTCTGATTAGTTTTTATATGTTGGCAACTGTTTTTAATGTAAATATATACTGACGCAGTCTTATTTATATAAAATTGCAGATATGGTAGAAGAATTTTATTATATTCATGGTGATCTGGAAGAATAGATAGGAAAGAAAAATTATCTATGGCTATATATATCCAGCTATTCAAGATAGTTGTTCCTTCTTGTTAATGAAAGTGCAAGAGCCATAAAGCATATGGTAAGGGATGCTCCATCACTTTTAAAGAACAATTCAGCTAATGCAGAAATTAATTATGCTGCATTCCATAATTCAGGGATTCAATTTTTGAACATAATTAAGCTTGTACTGCCTGGTATTTGAGACACAGGTACATGTGTTCAGTTTGTGTGTTTCAGAAATAAAATCAAGCAGAGAGCTACCAAAAATATTTTGTGCAAGCTCTTTAAATAAAAGGGTCTGCTGAAAATTTGCATAATATCTTACTTGTGAAATGTAAAAACTGTCATAAATCATAATTCAATTTATAAGACAATTAAATGCATGTGTTTCTGTTCTCTTTTATGGTTCTTGGAAATCATTATCTTGTGTAGCTGGAGAAAAAGGCACTAAAGAAAGCAGAGAAGAATTAAAATAGAATTAGCATTAGAACAGAGGGAAAATATCACAGTCACTTCCTTCACATATTTGTTTTTTCCAGCTGTCCTGAGCTCAGCTGAAATAGCACAGCATGCTCCACATTCCTCAGAATTTCTTATTTTCCTTAGGACAGAGGTTGCTTTCTATATCTCATGGGAGTCAGATGGTTTTGCTGCAATTAACTGTGAGAGATTTTCTGCCCTTGTAGTCTCTTTGCAGCTTATGATACTCATTAAATCTCTCTGATGACATAAAGAAAACCCTGTAAAGATGATAGAATGTTGTTTATAAAACTTACTGAAACACTCTTCATAAATTCTCATTTCAAACAAGGGAAAGGCGTCCCATAAGTTAGCAGCGGTATTTTTCTAATGTACCATGTTCTTAAAGTATGTTTTTCAAACAGTCTTGCCATAAATGTAAACGTGTCCTGGTCCTACCAGTGGTTTTATTGTATGTCAGAACATATCAATCTTTTGTTGGTTACAAATAGGTCAAGTCTAGAAATATTAAAAAACTAGAAATCACAAACCAAGAAATAAAAAATGTGAAAACTTTCTCAAAACATGTAGTGTGGATGTTGCATTACTTGAATCCTTAGACTTTAGTACATTTGCAGACCTTGCAATAAAGCAGATGGGGCAGCAAGAATCTGGGAAAATGGTAGATTGGTCCACACTGAGCAGTGAGAGAAAAAGGCCCTCCCCTGCAGAAGCAAAGCTCTGGTTTTATCGCTCGTTTGTACTAAACTGACTGATCTTTTACTCCAGTTGGCATTATAGCACTACTGAGTAGGGTGATGTCACACAAAATTGTTGAAGAAAAAGTCTTCACTTTATTGGAACTACTACTGATGTGCATGTTTTTGTTTCTGCAGAATTTAGTTTCTTATTTCTGATGGTCAGAAGAGATAAAGATGCTCAAGACTCTCTACTGATGTGGAACTCCATTTCTGTGTCTCCACTCCAAGAGGTCTCTTTAAATCATTATATCCTGATTAAAATGTACCAGCAACACCTCCTTTCAGAAGACAAAGCTTTTAGTTCAAGGTGAGATATATGGAATTTGGGGGAAAAAAGGCTTGACTTGCATAGGTCTGATCTCAGTTGCTGATTTAGTGGTGTTCCTGGGCTCTTTTTGCTCATGTCTTGGGCTTATGTAAGTAGATCAGTGCTCTCTATACCATTTTGGTTTTTTGCCCATTTGCTTTACAGAATGGTTTCAGGGCTGTAATTAGGAAAGCAGTGTGAAAAGTGTATTCCCAGACGCCTTGTGGTCAGTTCTGCCTGAGGTAACCACCAACAGCCTCTCTCAGCTTAATGATGTCTGCTGTTGGCAATGCTTCTGCCAGAGAGCGAGGTTAATGTCAGGAAATAAAATAAAATCTGCTTAGTAAACACTGCAAAGAAAACAGGTTATGTGTTAATGTGCTTGCACCAGCTATTCCTCGCTGAAGCTTTACTTTCAAATTTTGTTGTTTAAATTTTGGTTGTTCATACATGGTTAAATTTCTAGAAACTTTGAAGAAGCTCAGAATGATAGAGATTAAATTAAGAGCTAAAAGATGTCTGTCAGGCTCTTGGCTTCTAGTCCATACTTCCACTAGCATAGGAACACTTGTCTGATATCAGTTGAATTTCTTAGGTAAGAGACATCTGCCACACACATTTCACTTTTAGAAGGGTTTCTCTAATACTCAATGTCATTTTCCCTAAAGGAAAACCACTGCAGAATTTAACAGCAATAGCTGTAGAGAACATCATAGAAATTACATTTCTATACCTGCAGGACTGAATAGAGATTAATATAACTTACACATTCCTATCGAGGTGTTTTATTGCATTTTATAGGAAGAATACAATTTTCTCTTAAATTATATGGCATAGTTTAAAGAACAAGGTTGTAATTTCCTTAACAAATGCTTTTAATACCTTCCTATGATAGTTCATGTTTTAAATTTCATCATTGTCTCTATAGCTTATTTAGGCAAGTGTGGCCACCCATACGTGACGAAACAAATTAAAAAGGGCATATAATGTTCCAGTTTCAAGTACTTGGGTGGATGGGGTTGCTTTAATATACATATATCATACTCTTCCAAGCTATCCAGGACTTTTGGATGAATTGGGTGCAATATATTAACTCAATTTCAATGGAAACACAGATCAAAGAATGTAGCTGGGAGGTCTTATTAAAGTATGAGACTTCATTAAAATGTCACTGGTTTTGATTATACTGGATTAAAGTGTCTGAAATTTCACGTAACTTCTTCGTGTCCCCAGAAAAGAAAATTCTGCTACTCATTCACTCATTCACATCCATCTTGGAAAGCCTTCAGTTTTTCAAAGGAAATAACAAAAAAAACCCTACTTTTCCTCTATTTAAAATAAATAAAATCATTTAGAAATTACTAGTTTACGTCATGGGATGAACATATAGAAAGGTACAAAGTCCATTTTTTTCCAACCAGCAGAGCAGTGCTGAGCTTTCCAAGGAAAAATGTTAATGGAGAGCAGTTTCTGTGTGCTGCAGTGCTCAGCTGATCTATTTCTGCCTCTCCAGCCAAGAAACAGAATACACATGTATGCTGAGCATTGCTCTCAGTGGTAATAGCCCTTTAAATTGGAAACAATCATTGTAAAAGACACCTAACAGACATTCTCTGGTACATAATAACAAAATTGAGATAAAAATCACTTTTCTTAATTTGTTTATTTTCCTGTTGCTACACATGATGTCAATACTTGTTTGTAATTGTATTAAAATGGTGACGCAGCCCCTACTGTGACACAGGAGCAGCGAAAAGTTTGCATATTGCTATCTTGTATATCCATAATATTTTGTGCTTGATATTGATACAGCCCTGCTTAATCTCTCTGCAAGTGCCAGGGTAGAGTCCAGCCCTGTCCCTGCTTTTGTTGTGAGGAGCCCCATTCCACGGGATTTAGGCTTTCAAGGTACATAGCTCAGCATGAACTTAACAAAACATGAATTCATTCTGTAACTGAATTGATTTCCTGCTTTGCTGTGTACGTGTTCCTTAAATTACAGTGCAAGTAAAATACAGAGTCTGCATTTCCACCATAACTGGAACACAATTTTACGAGCAGCAGTTGCCAGTGTTATGGATCTCCCCATGGATCTGGAAAGGCTCAGGACGAGACAGCAAGGAAGTAGTGTATTACAGATAAACAGAGAATAATTCCATTCATTTATGGATTGTTTCAGGGATTCTGAAAGCCTCTGCTAATACTGGCTATTAAGATAGAGAAGATGGGGAGGAGAGAAAATCAATTAATTTCTCAATCTATTTAAGTGAACAAAGAATTGCGTGTGAAACTGAACAGAGCGTGTCAACAAAACTCACACCAAACAAAAAAAGAAAAGCGGTTTTATTTTGCATAATTATGTCTGAATCACAGAAGATTTGACAGAACCTGTTCCATTCTAAGCCCCAATGTCTTATTTAGGCAGAGTACAGTATCAAATACCCTGTAATATGTTTTTTCTGGGCTAATCTAACATCTCACAGGATATCACACAAGGGGACAGCACAGGGAGTTGAGTGATTTCCCTGGTTTATATTCAGTCTTTGTAGGACTTATTCCATCTGTCTGTTGAAAGCTACGACAGTGCACTGTCACATCTCTCCAGTTTTTTTAGGGTGGCTTCCTTATCTCTAAAATAGGAACGAAATAAGAAATATTAGTGCATTTCTGGGAAGAGAGAGATAAGGTTTAACCTCTGAACACTTGTAAAGTCTTCAGAGGACACTTCAGAAGTGCCTAATGCTATAAATTCTGGCTTTATAAGGTTTTTTACTATCATTAGAGTATTAGGAACTTGACCTTTTAACCTTTATGCACTTTTGTTACCTGACATAATGGAGGCTCATGGAAAAGCTTTCATGACCAGCGTTACCTGTGCAATCTGAACACCAGACTTTGCAGAAACTTGAAGGAATTGAGCTATGACTCTGCAGCAGGGTAAGTCACTCCAAATTTTGCCTTCCTCATAAAAGGCAAAACTATAAAAGAAAAACTATAACCAAGATTTCATCAAATCACAATGTTTTTTCTGAACTGAAGAAGAAATAAGATGCATTTACAAAATTGCTGATATTAACAGCCTAGTATTAGCAGGGTAAATGCCTTGAGATAAGAATTAAGATTGCCTGCTGAGCATCCAAAACTCTACAGCATCAGCAGGCACTAAAGCAGTAAGACGCTTGGAAAAATGGCTCCACATCTGATAGGGAAAAGCACAATAAATCAAAGATAAAGTAAACTTTCTAGATAACCAGGAGCATTTAGTGCCGTTCTGATTAAACTCCTCTACCGGAAATGAGTCAACAAACACAGCCTCCATGCTTTCCCTGCCTTTCTGCCAATTTACATCTTAATGGATAAACTGGTTCAGGTTACTCATTTGGCAAAGCAAGGGATTGATTTGCAACTTTTCATTTTGACTGCTCCCATCAACTTCTGCAGGGCTGTTCAGGGCAACTGAGCACAGCCATGGGCAGGCATTTAAAGATTAACAGGCTTTTGCAGCATTCCAGGGGGATGACAAAGCCATCAAAATGCATTATTTTTTTTTCCAGTATTTCACACATATTACACATGACTGCTGCAGTTATTACACCAGTGGCTTTTCAGAAATCTTGCAGTTTAATTCTGGGATAGTGGGGGTTTTTCCCCTTGAAGACTTGAGTTATGAGATTATGAGAAGAATCTCCAATTTAATTGAAAGTGTATTTTTGTCCTTGTGTTTGCAATGCAAAGCCCTGAAATGTGAGCTGAGTTACAAAGGATCAGTTGTTCAGTTGTACTACTTAGCATGAAAGGGAGTGCAGTGTGAGCCAAAGCAAGGTTTTTAGAGGAATATGGTACCATTCATACACTCCACCTGGAGGGGCACAGAATGTCAGAATTCCTGGACACTTTTGTACACTTGATGAGCGTGAACTCAAGGGGCTCTGTCCCCCTTCCACCTTCTAGAGAACCTCGTCACCTCAGGGGGAAAGGAATGTCATTACCTGGGGACAACACGGATGGTGGTAACATCATTCTACAGCGCCCTGGACATGTGCTCAGCTTTGGGGAGTGCTGACCTGCACCTCGATCTTCCCCTTAAGCTCAGGAGGGCATGGACAGCACCCCCGCAATTTAAGTGTGACACAGAGCACCCATCTTTCCCGCTCAGTGCCGGAGATCATGGACAGCACCCCAACCTCCTCCCTCAATCGAAGGGTGACACAGAGCACCCCATCTTTCCCGCTCAGTGCCGGAGGTCAGCACCCCAAACTGCTCCTACAATTGAAGGGTGACACAGAGCACCCATCTTTCCGCTCACTGCTGGAGGTCAGCACCCCAACCTCCTCCCTCAATCGAAGGGTGACACAGAGCACCCCATCTTTCCCGCTCAGTGCCGGAGATCATGGACAGCACCCAAACTCCTCCCTCAATTGAAGGGTGACACAGAGCACCCCATCTTTCCCACTCAGTGCTGGAGGTCAGGGAGAGCACCCAAACTCCTCCCTCAATTTAAGGGTGACACAGAGCACCCATCTTTCCGCTCAGTGCCAGAGGTCAGGGAGAGCACCCACACTGCTCCCACAATTGAAGGGTGACACAGAGCACCCCATCTTTCCCACTCAGTGCCGGAGATCATGGACAGCACCCCAACCTCCTCCCTCAATCTAAGGGTGACACAGAGCACCCATCATTCCACTCAGTGCCGGAGGTCAGCACCCCAACCTCCTCTCTCAATCGAAGGGTGACACAGAGCACCCATCATTCTGCTCAGTGACGGAGGTCAGGGAGAGCACCCCAACCTCCTCTCTCAATTTAAGGGTGACACAGAGCACCCCATCTTTCCCGCTCAGTGACGGAGATCATGGACAGCACCCCAACCTCCTCCCACAATTTAAGGGTGACACAGAGCACCCATCTTTCCGCTCAGTGCCGGAGATCATGGACAGCACCCCAAACTGGTCCCACAATTTAAGGGTGACACAGAGCACCCATCTTTCCCGCTCAGTGCCGGAGATCATGGACAGCACCCCAAACTGGTCCCACAATTTAAGGGTGACACAGAGCACCCATCTTTCCCACTCAGTGCCGGAGGCCAGCGCCCCGTCCCCGCTGGTTTTGGGGCCGCTGGGCCGCACCCCGCACGCCCCTCCCGCCCGCGGGCTGCGCTGCCGCCCCTGGCTCAGGGAAGTTCGCGCCGCGGGGCCGCGGGTTCGAGCCCCGAGGGGGGCGGCCGGTCCGGGGCCGTGTCGGGGCCGGCTCCCGCCGTTCTTGCGGGGGGTCCCGGCCGGGCAGCGGCGACCGCGGGCCCAGCGCACATGTGCGGCCGCCCGGCACATGCTCACTGAGCGCGGCGCATGAGCAGAGGCGGCGCGGGGCCATCGGACATCTTGGGCCGCCCCGCACGCAGCGGGCAGCGCCGCCGGTCCCGGGGCGGGAGCAGCCGCCGCCCCCGCGCCGCCCGGCCCGCCCGCCCTGGCGCCGGCAGCCCGCCCCTCCCGCGCTTCCCCCGGGCTGCTCCGAGCATCCCTCCGCCCCTCTTGCATTTGTCTTAATTCTTCTCAGAGACAAGATGGCAACGCCGGCGGCGGTAAACCCTCCCGGTGAGTAGCTGCCGTCTCGCCCCAAGTGGCCCCGCCGCACAACACGCCCCCGCCGCCGGCTGCCCCCGCCGGCCCGCCGCGGTCCCCGCAGCCCCGGGGCGGTCCCGCCGCCGCCCCCGCGGGGCCCCGGGCCGGCCGAGCCGGGCCAGCGGAGCCGGGAGCCCGTGGGGGCTCCTCGGGACACGCCGGGAGCCCGTGGGGGACACGCCGGCCCCGGCTGCCGGCGCAGCCCTGCAGAAATGAAGAGTTGTGCACAAGCATCCGCGGGCGTAGGGCAGCGCGGCGGGCGGGGCGGCACCTGCGGAGCCGTGCCTGCCCTGGGGACGAGTAGGAACATGGGCTTTCCCTGCCTCCACGATGCTCAGCTTTATTGTCGGCTCGTCAAGTCAAAACGGTGTTGAAACTGACCAAGGGCACCTCGGCGTGTGCCCTGTGTTTGTTTTCTTTCCAAAGGATGCAGTAAATATTTGCTGTTACTACTAGAGTTATTGACAAAATAAACTTACAAGCATTTTCCCATTTAATTTTTTTTTTTCGCGAGGGAAGGCATTCCCCGACGATTTGTTATGTGTCTGTGAGATGTAACACCTCTTTTATTCAGTGCGTGATGGAATAAAGTGAGTTTGGATGAAAGGCCAGAGTAGTATTTTGGAGATGTACTTGTGTCAGCGTGGTGTGGATCAACAAGTATCTGACCCATAAAATAAGTGGGATGACGGATCTTGCACTGGGCTCAGTACTAAGGAAGAATAGAATTGAATTAGAGGTCAATTTCAGTTTTACTTGTTTTAATATGTGCTTGCATTGTGTTATTTTTTGTAGAGTCAGGTTGAGTTCTGACAATTAAAGGCTTTCTTGAGTAAATGCCAACTAATGTTTAAAGCTTGTTCATTAGATTAAATCCTGCTGTAGTTGGTATAGTTGTCATGCTGAAAGTAAATATTATGATATAAACAATGAATTGGGTTCAGTAAGCGCCAATACACTAAGCAGAAACTGATATTTGCCAGTCAGAGTAGGTTTTAATATCAGAATTCTACATATTAAATGAAAGTTAATATTTAAGGGGAGGTTATGAAATTAATACCATTTAGCTTTCAGGGTATCATGTTGGGCATCATAACAGAGTTTTACTGAGTGCACTCAGTGAAATAAGTTTTGCAGACAGAGGAGGATACAAACAGCGTTTTTTGACTTGGTTTGGCTTGCCCTTCTGTCTGCTCTCCAAGCTGCACACTGAAGGAACAGCCCTGTCCGCTCAGAGGTCAGTGCTGAAACTGCCGAGTTAGGGCAGAGCCCGGTGCCCCTTTGGCACTTTCTGTACTTTCTGCCTTTCCCACTTTCTGTACCCGCCTGCCTGTGGCTGAACCCACAGAAAGATGTGGTTGCAGGAGGTACGGCATGCATGGACTGCTCCTAACTGAGTAGGGCTTCACCATTGTTCTCCTGTGACCACTGACTGAATTGAGGGATTGTCATGGGATTGTTGAGGGAACATAAAGAAAAGAGGAAAGAAGGGCCACACAGGTGTGTTGCCTGTGTGCATCTCTGTGCATGTGACACATGAAAGTTGACTTGCAGTGTGGTCCTTAAACTCTCTGAAGCACAAATTGCTGGTCTGTGGGAAGGATAAGGAAAGGTGTTGGTTTCCTGAAGTGAACCAAGATCCCTTCCACAAGGCTGAGGTTACAGAGCATCATTCTGCTCCTCTCTGGGCAGCTGGAGCAGGTCTGAGCTGAAAGACAAACTCGCTGCCTGGTAATGATCCTCCTACGTTTTCTGTGCGTGAGAAATGTTGTTGTCAGACAGGGCGAAGTCAAAGTGGGGAGCTGTGAGGAAAGGAGACCCTTGATGTGTAGCATGGTGCTGCCTTTGCTCTACTATGGACAGCAGAAGTTAAAACTGTGTGAAATATCTGGACTTGTATTGTGGCTTTTTAAAATAATAATTTGTCACTATTCTTTTTTTTTAATAAGTAACTGCAAAGCAATGCAGAGAAACAGTCAAAATCTGTAGTGAAATGATTTTAATCCTGTTGTTTTCTCTTGGGGACAGATCCTCAGCTGGAGAAAGATGAAAGTAGCCCTATTAGTATTGGTGAAGCTGTGCCACCTTGTGCCAGTTGACTTTCTGATCTGCAATGTTAGGGGAGCACAATAGAGGATTAACTTGTTAAGCATCTTTAATGATGATTAGAAATTACAATATGATTAAATTTTTATTAAGCAATTGTCTGGGGTTCTAATAACAGTTGGTAATTTAGGCAGGACATTAACTTGCAGCTACCACAATACAAATACATGTGGTTTTAGTCATATTCTAGATAGTGGAATGGGGATTAGCAGAGAGAGAAAAGCTGGGTGTTCTCTAACCAAGTGAAAGTCTTTCAGTTTGGGATCTCCTGCTGCAGACCCATGCAGTGCTCTGTGGCAGCATCTTCTCTTTTGTGTTAGATGCAGATTTATCCTTTTTCCCACTGATCTTTTTTTAATGGAGAGTTTCAGCTAGGGAAGTTCATAGAAGTGAGAGCAGTTTGCATCCTTTCCCACCTGAGTTTCACGGGAACTGCGGTGTCAGGGACCAAATTTGTGGTGGCAGTAAGGGCTCTGTGGGCTTCCTGAGCTGTGCTAGATGTACACTGATGGTTCTTTTTGGTGAAGGTTCATAGCTGGGCATCACCCTGACACAGCTGAGGGGCTGTGTGGGGTAAGCTGCTTCCTCTTGCTGCACGCTCAGCCTCGGAACGGGTCTGGCTGGGAGCTCTGGGTTGGTTTCTCGTACCCTGGGTGACAAACTGAAGTGCGAAACAATACAGGTGTGTGGGAAGCTCATCTGCATTGGCACAAAGCATCACAGTTAATTTATTTCCTCCTGAAATAAGATTGGCATATTAAATGGGATTTTAAGAACAAAAAAACTGTGGAGGTGTTACAAGCATTTTGTATATTACTGCTTGCAGCAAAGTAACTTAGTGCCATGTCTGTTTTAAAGGTGTTATTTTTGGAATGCAAACTTTGTCCGTAACTATTGCTTCTTTGGGATCAGATTTTACTTCACTTGAGTGTGATACATAAAGTGGTGATTCTTGTATTAGCCAGGATGGGATGAAAACATAAAGTTCTTCATGAGTTTAGTAGGTTTTTTTCCTGAGACATCAGCTGATTTTGGGTGATGAGTTCCAGTCTGGCTCACTCTGATGAGTGAGCAGCAACTTTCTGCTGTGGTCAGGTGATGAGAAATGAACTGAAAGGCATCCTTTCAGTTCTTCCCACTGAGGTACCCCTGAATGGAAGGTAGTACACACGGAAGTATTGCCAGAATGCCATGAACTCGAAAGTCAAGAGAAATCATGAGATTTTGCAGTTTATCTAGCGTTAATTTAGAGGGAAGATTCCACAGGATGCATTTTTGGTAATGTTTTATGATTTTATGAATCCTTAGGGTTGTATTTTTATATTTAATTAAAAAAAAAAAAAAAAGTAACTCAGTTGTTAATGTAATCCTTAATGCTCCTCTCTGCTTAAAAAAGCAGAGAGCCCCAAATATGAAGGTATGGAGAATATGTTTTCCAAAGGGCATCTACTAGAAATGTGTAGAGAGAGATGTTGTGATATGAGAGAAGGGAATTGCTGGGGCTTAGGGCATTACTGCTGCAACCAAAGCAGCTCATGAGGGGTACTTTCAGCCCATGGCTAAGCTAAAATATAAAAAATTGGCCTTTTAACTTAAATATTATTAAATAAGCTCTCTTTACTTCCAGTTTATAATGAGTCAACAGTAAATTTTCTAAGACTTGTAAGCCCTGCATTTAGGCTCTTGATTTAGCTAAGTGCACTGGGTTCTGGGGGGTAGTTTTGGTTTTTATGTGTTTGTTTGACTTGGGAGTTAAGTGGAGAGAAATCACTCTTCTATTTGAACTAGGTATTCTGACAACCAAATAATTTGTTACCCAGTCCTACATTTGGGCTGAAGTTACTAAGTGCTGTGGAAGAATTTTTTTGCCCAGTTCATATTCCCAAAAGGAACTGGCTTTGTGACAATGTGGCCATTCTTTTCTTTAGATTTCAAACAGCTTTGAAATGGATGATTAAAAAAAGAATCTACTTCAGTGCTTTAGATTTCAAAATCATTCAACTCAAAGTTGTGTTTTATTGCTGCTGCTCTGCCCTTCATTACAACACAGACTATCCACTAAACTAAAAAATCCAGTAAACTAAAAAATCAATTTAACAGCATCCTGTGGAGTAAATGGAGTGATGGAGGTCATAATGAGCTCTGATGTTTCTGGTATGCAAAAAAGTAGTCATCATTCTTGGATAAAGTTAAAAAAAAGTGTTTCAAAATTAGAATACTCATTAGCTAATGGGAGGTTTACATTGCAGATCTTTTTCTTCTTGTGTTTTCATAGCTCTTGTACTGGAGAATTGGTCGTTAATTCAGTCAAACGGTGGTATGAGATGCCAGTGCCTCTTGAATTGTTTTGTGATAATGTTTTGTCCTTCAGGAGTGTGGACTGAATAGTAACTGGCATTGAACTGCCATTATTTTTATATTTCTATTATATAGGTATAGGGTATACAAAAGATTTCATCTCTTCTATCACAAAATAGTTATTTAAAATTTGCATATGTAGCTTGTGGTTAGTTCCAAATATTTTTTTTTTTTTCAATAGAATAATGTTTCCCCATTCCTCTAATAAAAATGCAAAACAAAAGAGATATTGCTGGTTTCTGTAATACCATATGGTGTTGCTGATATTTCTTAGCAGTAAGGAAAATTGCAATAGAGATTAGGTAGAAAAGAAAAAAAAATAGCCTTTTCAAAATAGTCAAGGCAAAATAACCCTGTTGATGTAGTGATTATTGTTATTAAGAGGACAGAAATGGGGCTGTCATTATGAAGATGTATTCAGAGATTATGCTTAAATGGTTGTGAAGATCAGATATGTGTGTCGCTCAGAGTAATTTTGGGGGGCTTACTGCTTCATAACTGACAAGCAA